TGAACAAAGGGCAAGATTTCCAAAATTAGGCAAAGTAGAGTTACAGTTCTTTGGCACTTCACATCTACCCAATGAGATCTATTTACCTACAAAGTGTCTTGTTCATAATCTATTATACTTTCAGAACTATGTCCTGGATAATGTTCAAAGTGTAACAAGAGCACCGCTAGGCGGAGCATTATATGCCCGAAAGTGATTTTTTTTGTAAAGATGAAGCATTTGTAAGACATGGGAATTAAATAAAGTATTACCTCCTTCAATTAAAATTTTTCCTTTGAAGTTTCAATATTGTGCTCCAAATGGCCCAGAAACTGTTTTCAATTCCAAGGTAATAGTGACCCTGACCTTTGACCTTGTGACCCCAAAATCTTTAGGGGTTTTCTACCCAATATGGACAATCATACTATGTAGTTAAAACATAGTAGGCTAATTGATACTTAAGTTATGTTCCGAAAACTGTTTTCAGTTTTAAGGTAATAGTGACCTTGATCTTGTGACCCCAAAATCAATAGAAGTCTTCTACCCAATTTGGACAATCATCCTATGAAGTTTGAATATTGTGGGCTAAATGGAACTTAAGTTATGCTCAAGAAACTGTTTTCAATTTCTAAGTAATAGTGACCTTGACCTTTGACCTTGTGACCCCAAAATCAATAGGGGTCTTCTACCAAATATGAACAATCATCCTATGAAGTTTGAACACTGTGGGCCAAATGGAACTTAAGTTATGCTCCGGAAACTGTTTTCACTTCTAAGGTAATAGTGACCTTGACCTTTGACCTTGTGACCCCAAAATCAATAGGGGTCTTCTTCCCAATATGGACAATCATCCTATGAAGTTTGAACATTGTGGACCAAATGGAGCTTAAGTTATGCTCAGGAAACTGTTTTCAGTTTTAAGGTCATAGTGACCTTGATCTTTGACCTTGTGACCCTAAAATCAATAGGAGTCTTCTACCTAATATGGACAATCATCCTATGAAGTTTGAACACTGTAGGCCCTATGGAACTTAAGTTACGCTCCGGAATCTGTTTTCAGTTTTAGGGTCAAAGTGACTTTTCCCTTTGACCTTGTGACCCCAAAATCAATAGGGGTTTTCTACCCAATAGGGACAATCATCCTATGAAGTTTGAACACTGTAGGCCAAATGGAAGTTATTTATTAGTTATGCTCCTGAAACTGTTTTCAGTTTTAAAGTCATAGTGACCTTGACCTTTGACCTTGTGAGCCAAAATCAATAGGGGTCTTCTACCCAATATGGACAATCATCCTTTGAAGTTTGAATGTTGTGGGCCAAATGGAACTTAAGTTATGCTCCGGAAACCAATTTGCTAACAGACGGACGGACGGACGCCAGGGAGTATAACATAATATGTCCGAAATTCTTTCGGGCATTAAAAATGGACAAAGAGCAAAAACCCCAAAATTAAGCACGGCAGAGTTATGTTTCTTTTGCACTGCACTTCTACTCAATAAGATCTATCTACCTACAAAATCTCATGTTGAAATCACTTATAGTTTCAGAGTTATGTCCTGGACAAAGTTCAAAGTGTAAAAATGAACAAAGGGCAATAACTCCAACATGAGCCAAGGCAGAGTTGTGCACTGTACTTCTACTCAATGAGATCTATCTACCTACAAAGTTTGATGTTGATATCTCTTCTAGTTTCAGAGTTGTGTCCCCAACAAAGTTTGAAGTGTTAAAATGAACCAATTTGGCAATAACTCAAAAACTAGGCAAGGCAGAGTTACTGTTCTTGTGCACTGCACATCTACCCAATAAGATCAGATAGACAAACCTACAAAGTTTTATGTTGATATGTCTTATAGTTTCACAGACTGATGGACAGACAAAGCAGCGACTGTATGCTCACCAACCAATACTGTCATGTTATGTCAGCCAGGGGTTAAATGGGATATTGTAATGTGACAATAGGGCTTGTTACCCTCTTAATCATGTGAGGCATATTAATACATTTTTTTACATCCTGATCATAATATTATTTTGAAGTTAACTAATTTACTAGCCTTTGGTTCAATTTTCAACCAATTTGCAATTTTATCTGTATTCTTGCTGTCTGACTAAGGTATACTTCTTTTCCGATGTTGGGGATGGAACCTTTTACAATTTAAGTACATATGAGCGTGTAAAGAGCCTGTATGTAATTTACTTTTTGTAAAATTTGTGACTAAGAAACTTGCTTTTAGGTCTGGTTTATATAAAAGTAAAACTTAATTGTGTCATGTAACTTAAACTGGCCATGAAGGAATTCAATTCCTGTCGGCTATGTGGCCAAATCATAAAGATATCATCAACATATCCCTACTAAACTATTGGTTTAAGTTGTTGAGTTAAAGTGAATAAGAAAGAACATCATTCTCTGTACATATATTTTTTTAATATAATTATATATTACACAAATATAGTAGATAAGCAGGTAAAAACATTAAAACACCCTTATTAAAACATCAGATAAAAGGTGACATTGCATAAAAAGTATATGAAACACATTCTTTATAAATTTGAAAATAAACAATCCTAAACATTAAAATATTCACTTATACAAAATGTATTTGACTATATCACATGAAATACACATTTAAACTTTATCCTTATCACTATCATTTATGATGCAAGATTCCAAGAATGAAATAAAAACAAAAGATCTACCTATGCATGGTTAAATGCATGTTAAAAGACGAGAATAAAGACCCTCAAGGCAAAGGCAACGTTCACAGGACACATTCCCCGACCCACCCAAGCTACCACAGCAGGGCACCAAGAAGGCACCAAAACTGTACTTCAAAGTTATTCAGCATGATCAGTAAACAAATGCAGACTTTGTCTGCTGTTTCATAAGCTTTTATAAACATGATACTCCTTCAAACTTATAAAACATAAAACATAATTTCCCTAACTTTGGTAAAACCCTGATAATCATATGAGCTGCGTCACAATAAAACCAACATAGTGCGTTTGCGACTAGCATGGATCCAGACCAGCCTGCTCATCCACGCAGTCTGATCAGGATCCATGCTGTTCGTTATCAGTTTCTCTTCTTGTAATAGTGTTGGTAACCCATTATGTTGGTTTTGTCGTGACGCCGCTCATATTATGCAGTTACACCATAATAACATGACAAGGTTATTCATCTATATGAAATTTAAAAAAAACAACAATTGTACAAAAGTTGGATATACTGTAAGGTAAATAAATATAAAACAATTGGCAAAAATAGCTTTTATTATGGTTTACAAAACAAAATACATGTATTGCATAAAAAATAAAAATGTTCAAAAACCGAATCAGTTCTGCCACTATAATCAGCAAGTTTGGTGATGATTTCACACATTAGTTTCATTGAAATATAGACAAATTTCTTTCATTCTGTAATCATTCTAAACACAGAATAAAAATAATTTTGTTATCCTGTGAAACAGCATATATATATAGAGAGAATATTTGTTTGTTTAGCGTGTAAAATTAAAATATATTTCACTGAGTGGACACCAGATGCAATATTTTCATGAGTGGCGTAGCCATGAGTGAAAATATAAAAATTGGTATTCAATCGTGAAATATATTTCAATCTAACATGCAAAACAAACAAAAAAATCTATTTATTTCATGCTTTTTTAGTGATTTTATGTTATTTTTTCTTGTTTTGCCGTGTAACGTCATGCCTTCTTCTTCATGATGTCATCACATCATGACATCACAGTATTAATGTTGAAATTTAGTTTTGTAAAATTTCTCAAATTTTGTTACATTTTTAACACAACGTAAACAGTTACTTATTAAGGCAAAATTTACATATGATAGAATTTAATCCTGTTGATAATTCCATTTAGTTATGAAATATTATTTTCATCCGCATTCAAATGTAGTCTGGCTACAGTGAAATTCATCAAATATAATTTCACTGTGAAAATTATCAAATATAATTTGATTTTCCACTGCAAAGCATGTAATAAATAGATTTATACACTTTAATACAAATGTACTGTATGACAATGAATGTGATGAAAACAATTCAATAATGTTTATCAATTGGAGACAGGCAAACTATTTCATTATAAAGATCTAGTACTGGCCATTCCTCATTATTATGTATCATATGATTTACAAGGACACTTCTTAAGTAACGAAAGGTTAAGTCCTTTCATTAATTAATCAAATGTAACCTCACCTGACCTAAGACTTTGAGATTTCATATATATTTCTGAAAAACTTTCAGATCTTATTTGTTTTGTAGGCAATAAAGCTGAGAGAAAAAAACAATATAAATATTTATCACACGAAAAATACAGCAAAAATATGAAAAATACATATTACGTTAATAATTTCAAGTAGACTTTACAGTAAAGAGGGCTGGGGTGCACTTAAGTCTGTAGTGATGGAAACAAAAATGACCCCACAATAAATTTATCTTTTTACAAATCATACATGTAGATACATATACTTGTATGTTTGTTTATAGAAACTGTAAATTTTGTGACCATGATCTAACTTGTTTACATGTTCAATGTTCTAAAATATATTACAAGTAAATAAAAACAGTTTAAATACTGGTAACCAGTATATAAATATTAAAGTAACAACAATCTTTGATCAACTTTGATTATCACAGTGAGTAAATAGGTAGAAACAAAAAATACTAAATGCTAAATACATGTTTACACATATGTATTGCATAAAAAGTTTAACAACACAAAAAAATTACCCTGCTATTGTACATAATAATGTATCAACTGTACCTCGATAAAAGACTAGATTGTGAGCTTTTAATCAAAACAAAATACTGCATTTTCTGTATATATATAATAAGTAAGGTGATTGAGACCAAGGGACACAACAAATGTGAAATAAATAACAGAATTAAGCTACAGTAAAAAATTGGTACAAACATAACATAAAAGAGAAATTATCATATCTGATTACTGAAATACACATGTATGCTTCAAGTCCATATACATTTTTATAGTGTGACATTCTCTCTCTGAATAAAAGTGTTGTGGGTTTTTTTTTTCATTTTGATCCTTCATTTTATTTTGTCTTACACAAAACTTTATGTAGAATACAATCTTTAACAACAATACTGACAAAAATAGAAAGCTAGTAAATGCCAATTGCATGTATGTAGATTTAACAGCTAAATACCCTTTCATTTGAGTCAGAAAATAAATACTGTCCATAATGAATCAAACAAATACATTGTAACCAAAATTGTATCTCTAACCAAAATTATTACAGTAGTTGTTTTTGAAGTTCACCCTCTAGATGATGACAGTTAAAGCTACTTTGAATTCATCAGAGCACAGTTCAGCCACCACATATTTCCTGGCAGTTTACCAGTACCTGTACCTTCTTCACTTTCAGAAGGAACTGATTACTTCTGTACACGCTAGAGCAGAGGTACAGTGTAAATGACTGTAGAAAGGATTTCATGTTCAATAACAACAAAGAAAGGCCTGCATTGTCTGGTAATCGAACCCAGGTTGCCCAATTCACAATCCAAGGCTCTATTGAGCAAACCAGACAATGCTTCTAAAATCATTGCACAAATATATTGCTATTCAATAAACCTTTTTAAGTCACTGCAACACTATGAAAGGCACAAAATGCGACTTTAAGGATTATTGTGGAAGATGACAGGTGCCCCTTTTTATTGAAGAAGATGTTAGATGACTTTCCAATATTTATGTCACATGGTGTGATTTTAAGTCCACAGAGATGAGGGCAAGTTATTTCAAGTCAATGATCAAAAAACTCAACCTTACAAAGTTACATTCATATTATTGGATTTAAAAAAGTAAGAATTATCTTAAAATATTCCACATATAACCCTTTCAGCTCCATTTAAATTACTTATGATAAAAACCCTTCCTTTATTAACTGTGCTTCCAACGTGAATTAAGGTGCAAAGCACATAGTTACACTTTCAACTACAGCAACAATTTAAACTCAACATTTACATACCCTGAAAATTGGTAACTTGAAACACTAACCACTGTAATGAAATTCATGCCATAATTAACATCAATGATTGCAATCACAGAAAAAAATACTGTTCTATCTGTCATAGACATCTAAATATCGATGCAATACCATATCTATCATAAAATCATGTATGTTTATAAATACATTGTATATCCCTATTGTTGTTTTTTCCTTTTTTTGCCATACAACTAGAGAACTCATTCTTTCAAGACTTAAATAGCAAATAAAATATATCAAAGTCATGTAAATGCATATATATGACTATATAGGCCTAGAACTGATCTCCCATTCCTATTATAACACACACGCCTGCTGTCAAGCCAATTAGTGCCAGAGAATGTAATCCAAGAATGATAACTTTAAACTGGGGAACACTCTGAAAATAAAAATATAATTTGCAATAACAAACTCCTAGTGATAGCTCTTTGCAAAATCTAACATTGTTTATCTTGTTTCTGGCATATAATATAACACACAAAGACATACACTGGTATTTTATGCAATATAAACATTATGAGAGTAAATATTCATATCTTTAATTTGTTCTGAGACTACCATGACAACAGTATCTAACCTTGCAACAAGTGCAGACCAAAATCACCTTAAACATCTATGCCACCTGATTATGGTCTGCACTGTTCAGTCTCTTTATATTTCAAATTTTTCCCTAAAATGATGAATGGTTTAGTCCAGATTGAAGGATGGACAAAAAAATTTAAGATACTAAGCATGGTAGGGTAAGTATGCACAAGGCAAGACCAATAAATGACCTTAACTAACATTAATCTCACATTCTAAATCAAAATGCTGTCACAAAATTTACATATACAGACAACCCTGTGAACAAGGCCACCTAAGGGGATGTACCAAACAGGACCTTTATAGACAAGTGGTCTTTATTGTGGGGTTACTCTGTTCTATATAATCAATGAACTGTTGTTAAAATATACCTTATGGCTTAAGTTCATATTCAAAACATTGTCAAAGATCAACATAAATACCAAATTTTATAAAGTTAACTAAGTTTGTATAATAATTGAATTATGATATAATCAATCTTCTGATGTCAAGTGTTTTACTGTTATATTCAATTACCATGGCAACAATTTTTTTATCTAAAAGTAAGAGTTTAGACTAATGCTTTTTTGTAGAAAGAGGCCATACCCCTACCATGTTTACCATAATTCAAATATAATTTCATCCAATGACATCACTTGTTTTCCATTTAATATAACTTGTAATAATATATATAATATTTAATATAACATAATATCTCTTTATATAACACAATCATGTGTAAAATAATATTGTCAAAGATCTACAAAAGCATGTGTAAAATGTCAAAACAATGTTTTTCAATATTAATTTCAATGGGTAAAGTCAATTGATAAAAAAGTATCTCACATTTGTTGTCATAAAAGTCTATTCAACTTGTCCAAGAAAATGTTACAAAGTTTACAAGAGGCTCGCTTTATTAAAATTTCTTGCACTTAATAAAATTCTAAAATATATGGCAATACATGGCAAAGCTTACGTAAACGTCACATCAAAATATATGCACGGCCGTGCAATACCATTTTTACAGTGAAGCAAAATCGGCACGGGTATGTGATAAAAATAATTTTTAACCCAGTAAATGGTACTTTCCTACCTTGTATGAATCTTGCTGTTTCTCAGTTGCCCCACCAACTGGTTTCAGCTCATAAGATTGACCACTGTTTACTGAAGGATTAATTGTGAAAATAAATATTTATGTATCAATTCAGAGAACTCAGTATTCATATAAACATGTTGCGATATATTCTTCACATTTCTGACCTTACATAACTACTTACTTGAGATAAACCAAGCATATACATGTATGCTGCATTAAATCTACCAGTTAAAAAACAAAATTAAAATGCATCACAAAAAGGAACAGTTAAAGGGAAACTCAAGCAAATAAATGACAAAAATATTAAAATGATTTAATGTACTCAAATCACGATAAAATGACATTTTTAAAGTCCCAGCATGAATTTCTGCATGAATTCTATATATTTTGGGTTTGAAGTGTTAATATATCTAGATATATTGAAAGAAATTTAGACGCCAATAGAATCACCGAGTAGTTTTAAAACAGGCAATGTAACTTGAACAAACCATGGAAGTTACAATAACAGATATTTTGGATATTGTTTGATTGAAACAAGTCTAAGTCATTCATTTGACATATTCTTTAACATTTCCAGAGCTCTTTGTGACAACTATTGAGAAATCTTAATGCTCAATTTCATCTTAGGCAACAGATGTACTTACAAAAAAAGCCTCATTTTGCCAAGGGGTTAGGGGGATATTTATATCTACAGGCCGAAAAAAACAACCAATTTAACAGCATTTCCACCAATAATATGGACTGCCAATAATAATGAAAACCCTGCTGAAACAGGAAAGGTAAAATCCAGTGAAAAACCATGTATTATATCACATACCTTCTTCTTTTCTACAGTCATATATATAAGATATGATTTCAATAAGTGCACACCAGCCAACTGCGACCCAAAGTATTATCCGAACATAGTCCGGAACAAATGCTCCTGTTAGAATTGTCCCCGAGAAAATGTTAACAACTGAAAAAGAAAGAGAAAAATATGTGAAATCAAATAAAACATTTGTCCATTATTTCCCCATTGTCACTTAAAAGACCAAATTTTTTATGTCTTTCTCGTAAGAAATATACACATCGTATAATATATATAGATGTATGCAGTTTCCATTACTTTTCATACATCCAGCATAAAAAGAAAAAATGTTTTGATTTTATGAGTGTTCAGTAGAATAATGTATCTTCTTTTTCTTCTTACTAGAACTTTATAAACTATTGTATTAGAAAAAAACAAAAAAACATTTAGAATAAATGAAAAACATACTTTTTAAACATAAAAAAAATAATTTGGAAAGAAATTGTAAAGTTAACACTCTAATGATATATTTCTTTCTGATATGGTCTAAGTCATCATTTATGAGCATCTTCATCAAAAAATGTAATAGTACCACATATACTGGTCTCAAGTTTGAGACGAACATTTCCAGGTCTGAATTAGTCTGTTATATCATAATAAGTAACAACTAACATAATATTTCAACATAGTTTAACTGGCTATACATGTATAATAAAACAACGAAGCATCAAAATATAGTATTGTATTGAGTATTACGTATATACAGTTGACTCTCAGTAACTCAAATTTCAAGGGCTGTCGCCGACCATTGATCAGTCAGCTGTTTTTCAAACTTCGACTAAATGAAATGTAAATATGTTGGACTTTAATTGACGGGACCAAAAACTCCTTTTGACTAGTAAGTCAAAATTTGTTCTAATTGGAGTTAATTACAAAGAAAAAGAAGGAAATTTGACGGGACTTTAGAAATTCTTCGACTGACGCAGAATTTTTGAGCGATTTGAGTAAGGCGATTTTGATTTATCGAAAGTCAACTGTATGTCACGTAAAATGCTTTCCTAATATATATTTTCCCTTATATTACCCAGCTCTTGTTATTCTACAACTTATACTGATAATCAAGCTATGATATGATACTTATTTCAGAATATTTTACAAACATTATCAAGTAAAATTGCACTTACTTGAGCACACAGCAGCTCCAGTGCCGACCCCTTTGTGGAACACATTAAAAATAGGTCTTTTTGGTGTTCCTGGGTGTGGTCTAAACACTGCCATAATTGGCTGAAATGATTACCAGTAATACACATGTTTATTCAATTAAACTTTTTTTGTACTTGGTAATTGGAAAATAATATGACTTATTGCTTATTTGCAATTATGCCTCATTCATTTCAGCAGGGTTCCAATGGAAAAGAGTAGTCTGAGTTTACAAGTGTACTTCTTATAAGATATGTTTTTAAAGAAAGCGGTAAGCCAAGGATGGCAACAAATAAATCTGATTTTTTTCTCATATATGTACAGACATAAAAAACATCGCTACTGTTATATTTTAATAATTCAATACATATAAATCTTTAAAATAGATTTTTGTTGTCTTTGCAAAAATATTTAATGTAAAGTTAGGAACTGCATGGCTGAGTAGTTAACATGCTGGACATGTAATATAAGAATTGTTAGCAGCATAGGTTCAAATCACCATCAGGGGCAAGCTGTTGTTTCCTTGTGCAACAAAGCTTTACACGCGTATCTCAGAACTGGTTGGTTCAAAGGGCGGATTCAAGAGTGTGTCTATAAGCTTAAATCATACTTCACGACAAAATTAAAGTAATTTCTGTACAAACTAAAATTAGGAACTACATGATATACTTTGAGTTCACTTATTTTCGTGGGCATGAAATTTCGTGGCTTTTTCAAAAATGACATTTTGGTTGGTTCTTAAATTTGTGGATTGTCCATTCTTACGAGACAAAAAAAAGAAGAGTAAAATGCTATGTATAAATGTATTCATACAGCAGAAGATAGGATATTTTGGGATCTTTAATCAATGAATTGACTTATCCATGTATAATATATATACGTCCACGTCCATATACTTACATTGATGAGTGCCAGGCACATAACAACTATACCAATTATAGGATGAGACTTCTCAAAGCCTGTTCCCTCTATCTGTAATATACATGTACATCATTATTTCAGTATGAAAATCACAAAATTATATTTCCCTTTTATTTAATATTAATGGACTATTGATAAATCATTTAGGACTCTAAGACTTGATTTGGTTCATACTGTAAAGTGTATATATAATCAATTTGATGTTTTAACTCACACTGGGTAATATCCCTATACATACAAACATCTATGAATAAATTTATCCTTATGAATCAATGATTTTAAAGATAGATTTAAATAATAGAAAATCTATGAATACTTATATTTCATGATTAAAATTACTCTAATATTTTCTTTAAAGATCCTGTAACTGGTTTTTTATGGTTTACTATCATAATTATGATGCTCAAATGAAGATTTATCAATATTGTAAGTTCCAAAAAGCATTATTTCATGCAAATAACGGGAGGTAATTAGAAATTTATTTTCTTTAAAGTCTAAGCCAAATGTTTCAATAAGAACTGAATGCATATATTTTAATTATTACATTTAATGTGTTTAAACATTTGCAGTGCATATTTTACATATTCTTGGATGTTTAAAAATTGTTTTAGAAGAATGATTATAATCATATATAAAATTTCACTTTAGTGTGGTAACAACCTTAATTACAACATACAGGATCTTTTTTTAAGTCCTATTGATTGGGAAGAGTACTGAACTCCGGACATTTTTTAGAAGCACAATCTTAAAGGTAACATCTTAACTAACATACCTCTGCATAGCCTCCGACATGAACAAAAATTATAACAAAAGATGCTGCTGTCAGTAGAAATGCTGTCACCATACAAGACCTGTGTACCTGAATAATTAATATTTATCTTGATATTAAAATGATCTTTTTATGTATTCTCGCAATAAAAGGTGAACACAACTAGTTGTGGTAAAACATATTATCAGATCTTTACATTTTGTGAAATCTGAAACAAATCATGGTATGATAAATTAACTATTTTATTCAATCCTCAATATTTCTAGAACAACTTTTTGTTATGCTGGATTTAATCTGCATGGTCACAGTAAAGGTCATTTGGGGATTTCCAGCTTTACTGATGTTGGACAGCCTATGTGCTGGGTTACAACTACCAAATTTCCAAAAGCTAGCTAGATAGCTTCCTCACATAAAAGAATCCAAAGTTCCTGGCTGGAATTGAACACACAGTGAAGATGGATTAGTGATTTGAAATTGATGACAGTAACATCTAAGCTCATGATGCTATTCTGTTCAAGGTCCTAATTTTATCAATAATTCTTATCAGCTGGACCAAAAGTGATTTGCATTTGTCATAAGTATAAACAATAGTCATGCAACCCTGCACATCTGTGTAGTCTGACCATTATCTGTATGGTAGCATGCTTAATTTTTGTATTTTGATATTTAATTCCTTAAACTTTGAATGGTCTTTTCCAAATTCAAAGAAAGGCCCATCAATTACAGAAATCCGGCAGGTAAAGGGTTATTTTATATCCAAATGTTATTAAACTGCTTGCAATAAAACAACATATTAACAGAATTGTGTACTTACTATAAACCAGCGTTTCTGTCCGCACCATTCCATACCCTCGGGCCAGACTAATTTGTAAAATCTTGCCATAAATATTCCCATTACAGCAAAGAACATCCATGCCACTGTCATTAATATACCTTACAATAGAAGAATAATTCAAATTATTATTATTATTTTTTTTTTTTTTTGATTGTATAAGTGTTAAAACATTTTAACGTTCAATCTGTAGTTTTCCTTAACCCAAAAAAGCCTGTTTGCAACAACAGATTCTACCCACACCTGTGCTGTCTGATTATGGTCTGCACTCTTCCCTAATCAGTCATTACATGTTTTGAAATTTTCCCTAAAAAGCTAAATGGTTTTGTCCAGATTAAAAGATGGACAAGTCTACTTAAGATAAATAGTGTGGTAATGACAGGGTTGCAACTTCCTATCATTGCTTCATGCACAAATAAGGACTTATTAAGAACCAGAAGTCTTCTGTTAGACAGCTGAATTGTTCCTTCACAGAAAGCATGCCACTGAAAAGCCTCAAATGAGTTGTGCCATGACAAAAACCAATGTAATTGTTTTGACACCAGCATGGACCCAGACCAACCTGTGCATCCAGGCAGTCTGATCCGGATCCATTATTTTCACTATCATTTTCTCTAAGGCTCTACTTGTTTGTAAGACAAGAGCAATCAGTGATCACATGTGTCGCCTCATGATGGCCAATTTCATGTTGGGACAAATTTTGTGACAGACGGACAGACAGACGGACAGTGCACAACTAGACTTGGTACTGATCATTCCTGTAAAGTTTGGATAAAATTGCACCAGTAGTTTATAAGGAGAAGTCTGGCAACACACAGAAAAAAACACCTTTTTATCAAAGGGCCATAGTTCAACCAAAAATCATTCAACCGGAAAACCCGTGCAATATGGGCAAGGACTTGAGCTACAGATCAATCCTGTAAAGTTTCATTGAAATTGCATAAGTGGTATAAGAGAAGTAGTCCGGACAAACTTTAAAAATAAAAAAAATTAAAGGGCCATAACTCTGCAAAAAAATCATTGAACCAAAATAAGTTAATAATATGCACAACTAGACTTGGTACTGATCATTCCTGTAAAGTTTTGATGGAATTGCACCAGTAATTTCTTAGAAGTAGTCCAGACAAGATTCTGTGTAGCTGACAAAACACAAACAAAAACACTTTTTTATTCAAGGGCTATAACTCAGCCAAAAATCATTCAACCGGAAAACCCGTGCAATATGCGCAAGGACTTGAGCTACAGATCAATCCTGTAAAGTTTCATTGAAATTGCATTAGTGGTATAAGAGAAGTAGTCCGGACAAACTTTAAAATTAAAAATTATTAAAGGGCCATAACTCTGACAAAAATCATTGAACCGGAAAATGCTTACAATATGCACAACGAGACTTGGTACTGATCATTCCTGTAAAGTTTGGATGAAATTGCACCAGTAGTTTATGAGGAGTAGTCCGGACAAGTTTTGTGACGGACGGACGGACAGACAGACGGACGACGGAGAAGTGATCCCTATATGTCGCCACTACTCCGTAGAGGCTACACAAAAACAGCACAGATCCAAATCAGACTGCCTGGATGCACAGGCTTGTCTTGATCCATGCTGGTAGCAAAACCATTACACTAGTTTCGTCATGGTGTGGCTCAAATATTGTTTTGCATAATTTAAAGCAGACAATAGCAAAATGGAGCACAATTTAAAAACAAGAGGGCCATGATGGCCCTGAGGTCGCTCACCTGTATATAGGCCCCCCCAACCCCCAACGTTGCAGAGCCGATTTAACCCAAGGGCTTTTATTTGCACAAACTTGGTAGACACCCATAAGAAGATGTTTCATGCTAAACATCTAAGCTCTTGCTCATTGGGCTTTTTTAAAAAGAGAATTTTTTTAAAGTTTTTACTATACACATATAGTTAAAAACAATGACACCCCTGGGGCCGGGCCAGTTTTGACCCCGGGGCTTTTATTTGAACAAACTTTGTAGACACTAACTAGAAGATGTTTCATGCTTAATATCTAAACTCTAGCTATTTGGGTTTTTTCAAAGAAGATTTAAAGTTTTTGCTATACACATATAAGGAAAATCAATGACACCCGGGGCGGTGCCAATTTTGACCCCAGGGCTTTTATTTGAACAAACTTGGTAGACACCTATTAGAACATGTTTGATGCTAAATATCTTAGCCATAGCTCTTTGAGTTCTTTAAAAGAAGATTTTTTTAAGTTTTTACTATATGCATATAGGGAAAATCAATGACCCCCCGGGGCGGGGCCAATTTTGACCCCAGGGCTTTTATTTGAACAAACTTGGTAGACACTTATTAGAACATGTTTCATGCTAAATATCTTAGCTCTAACTCTTTTGGTTCTTTAAAAGAAGATTTTTTAAGTTTTTACTATATGCATATAGGGAAAATCAATGACCCCCTGGGGCGGGGCCAATTTTGACCCCAGGGCTTTTATTTGAACAAACTTGGTAGACACCTATTAGAACATGTTTGATGCTAAATATCTTAGCCATAGCTTTTGAGTTCTTTAAAAGAAGATTTTTTTAAGTTTTTACTATATGCATATAGGGAAAATCAATGACCCCCCGGGGCGGGGCCAATTTTGACCCCAGGGCTTTTATTTGAACAAACTTGGTAGACACTTATTAGAACATGTTTCATGCTAAATATCTTAGCTCTAACTCTTTTGGTTCTTTAAAAGAAGATTTTTTAAGTTTTTACTATATGCATATAGGGAAAATCAATGACCCCCTGGGGCGGGGCCAATTTTGACCCCAGGGCTTTTATTTGAACAAACTTGGTAGACACCTATTAGAAACATGTTTGATGCTAAATATCTTAGCCATAGCTCTTTGAGTTCTTTAAAAGAAGATTTTTTAAGTTTTTACTATATGCATATAGGGAAAATCAATGACCCCCTGGGGCGGGGCCAATTTTGACCCCAGGGCTTTTATTTGAACAAACTTGGTAGACACCCATTAGAACATGTTTCATGCTAAATATCTTAGCTCTAGCTCTTTGGGTTCTTTAAAAGAAGATTTTTTAAGTTTTTACTATATGTATATAGGGAAAATCAATGACCCCCTGGGGCGGGGCCAATTTTGACCCCAGGGCTTTTATTTGAACAAACTTGGTAGACACTCACTAAAAAATGTTTCATGCCAAATATCTAAGCTCTAGCTCTTATGGTTTTTTAAAAGAAGATATTTAAAGTTTTTTCTTTCGGTTGCCATGGCAACCAGAGTTCTGCATGGAATTAAATTCTTTGAACAATTTTTAAAGGTGACCACCAAAGGAACATTCCTGTGAAGTTTGGATGAAATTGGCTTAATGGTTTATGAGGAGATGTCATTTAAAGTAAAAGTTTACGAACGGACGGACGCCGGACGGACGCCGGACGAAAAGCGATCACAAAAGCTCACCCTGTCACTTTGTGACAGGTGAGCTAAAAAAAACTGACATCAATGTCCTCATGATAAAAGCATTGAGCTGGCATTTAAAGAATAAATTAAATAAATATAAGAAGTTATAACATCATAATTTACAACTTCGGGAAATACGAGCATCTAATCAAAGCCATAGAAGATAAACATGCATGCTTTTAGCAGGTCTGTAAACTGCACTGGAAAATAAAAGATAGTTTAGTAGCAGGTTAATCTATATTTTAAACAAATATAGGATAAGGGTCAACCAATCATGTCATACCATGTAGTTTTATCATTGATCTATCTACAGTTGTAGCGCTGATGTCCATGAAACTCTGAAAGTCAGCTTTCTGTGTTGATATTGTTGGTGTCTTTGCATGCTTGCCAATAAAACCTGAAAAATATCATATCTAAAATGAAAACCAAGAAAAGTTGTAGGCAATAATGTGACACCTGTTATTAAAGTTATACATCTTAAAAACAATATTATATTTTCAGTCTGTGTATCTATTTTTAAAATGATAAATATATATAGGGAAGAATTAATTAAAAATTCCATAACTATATATAAGAGGTGTAAACTCTACACAATAAAAGACAGATAAATTAAACCCTTTAAATTCAGCCCCTAGTACTGAAATATATTTTGCATTTGTCAGCCATGTTTTTTTGTTTTGTTTTTTTTACAACAAAAGAGTAGGGGGCTTGTCAAGCTTACAGTTCCGTGGCATTTAGTAGAGAAGATTTTATGACCAAACTGTCCTCTCAGAGCAATACCGTAACAAGAAGTTTGAAATCTAAAGGAGCTGCCACCACAAGAGAATTTAAAACTGTAAAATAAACTAACCTCCACTTGCTTTACCATAAGCATAAAACAACGTCCAGTCTTTGTTCATATCAAAGTATGTGCCTGACGAGGCAGTTGCTCGTTTCTTTCGTCCTGCTGCAGCTGATGTCCATGATTTTTTGCGTGAAAATGTACACGACAGAATTCCATCTCCATAGGCAGCTGATATAGAACTTAGACCAAACTTGTCCTGTAATATTATATAAAATAATCTGTCTTTTACAACAACTGGGGATATATTGCAACATAGTTAAAGCTCTTGGACTTACGTCTATTGCATGGAACTCTCTGATTCTAAAAACTGTTTGTTCACAGATATACATGTATAATATACCCAATAAAATATTATAAATTAGTAATTTTTCTGGTTTTGTAAAAGATTTATATATACAATGTATAATAATGGAACTTTATCAAATGAAAGAAAACTAGAAATGTCTCATAAGGACAAAGGCGCCCATAAGGAAAGTCAGACAGACAAATTGGCAATCCTATGATCAAATAAACAATTTTGTGGAATAAAAAAAAGAAAATAATGTAGCGTTATACCTGATCGAGTCTTTTATTAGACCTGCCATCATTGTAGGATACAGATACAGTTGTTGTATCTTCACTGTGAATACACTCAAACACACTGTCATCTCCCTGTAAACATCAGTAACAAACAAAAATATAACTATATCTAACTCTAGTATGCTGGCAGTGAATTTACCCACGATACCAGTGCAAACAAAGACAATCTGTCATCTGATCATAGTGTGCATTGTTCACTATCAAGTAAGTAAATAATTTTCAATTTACCATAAAATTATGAATGGTTATATCAAGAATGAAAGATAGGCAAGTCAATTTACGACATACAATGTTAGTGAATATTTTTACATTTGCAATTGTCCAAAAACGGACTTTTTGCGTGAGGAAATATTTGCAAAGGTGGGATTCCCAGATCTCCAGTAATATTGGCATGCTTGTGACAATAGATTTGATTTGTCGGTTGTGTGGGAAATTATATAAATTATGCAAAATGATGTATCCATGAAATAGGATGGTTTATTACAATGTATAATGATACATTTTTGCAATGTACTGCTTATAAATTTGAACTGTCTAATGTTTAGTTAAGGGATTTTATGTTGAATTGCTAAACCTGAGAACTGAAGACTTCACAGAAAGCTCTTCACCACTGATAAAGACCTATTATATAATTCCTACAACATTGAGCAAAAAGAAGAAAATTAGTTGAACAAAATAGCACACTGTAATTGCCTTTACTATCATTCCTGTGAGGAAACAGCCAAATGCTAGATAAATATTAATCTTTTACAGCACATGCTAATGATTACAAGCTCTGGTGGGTTACTTGGTAAAACCACCAAAATTTCACAAACTGGCTGGTAAGAATTCATTATCCCTGATAAGATTACAATGTAAAATGTACATCATAAATATATATAAGTTACATAACCATAGGACAAAATACAATCAAATGTCTACCATTTTGTTATCACTTGATAATCCAATAGCACAGTAGACACTGTTCCCGCCAAGTTTACAGGTCAAGGTCAAATCTATATTGTCTCCATTTTCCTTCCAGGTCAATAAAAACCCACATGATCCATCGTTCTTACAATCATGGTAACATCCAACACTTTCCCCACATTTACTGTCCTTCTTTATCACCTATAAATAGATTTTATAAATCTTCAAAGTTCAAACATGTCATTTTCTAAACATAGAAAGTAAAAAAAAAATCATTCTGAACAGTCTTCTTCTAAACATGTAATTTTCTTATTTTTTTATAATATGAAAGTAGGTAAAACTTATGTAACTGGGAAGTAAGATAAATTGAATATGGCAAAAACTTTAAATTATTTGACCATGCACTTTCTAAAAATTATGCTTTTTAAACCTTTCTGAACTTAATTTATATAAATGGTGACTTTTCAAATTAGGTAACTCTGGCAGAATATTAAAGAAAGCCATTTATAATACTGAGGATACGTTTGGTGATTTTAACATTTTGAACCTTTGGAAAAGGTTCATACATAAGATGATTAATATATTTTAGAAAATCAAATATGTATATTACTGATCAAAATGTATGAACATACTTTTACATATTGTGACATTCATAATTATATGAGCCGGAAATTTTACATAGAAAAATCACACAAAAAATTGACACACCATAGCCAGGACTCGAATCACTGGTCTCTGGATTGCCGGTCCAGTATAAATATATAAGGTCAATTAGCAAAAAAAGGGAACAGACGCTCTGGTGAATTGGTTAACATACTGGACCGGCAATCCAGAACCTTTGGGTTTTAAGCCCCCAGTTTCGGGCGGGGAAAGGGTTTAATTTTCTTTTTTCCCACCCGTGGCACTGATATCTGGTGTTGTTCTTGTCTTCATCAACTTTAAGGAAGTTAATCTTTGTTTCTGACACCTTTGGATATTCTGTGTGCTTCATTAAAATCCCTGAAAATGCCACAATAATAGATCAATGTGAACAGTCTCTATGTGAATCTAATTTATATATAATTTCATCATACATTTGAATTCAAAAGCAAACAAGATTGCCATGTTTCACAAAAATTTCCCACATGAGCAAATGAACAATACAATAGAAGTGTCTGTGAAAAGAATTTTATTTTTCATATTTTTTTCATATATTTCTTCATACAGAAAGGCCCACAGGATTTTATGTGTGAAGTATTATCAAAATCCACTCTTTAAGTACAATATTGTCTTTATTTTTGGCACTTACACTATTCAGCAGGCCAGAATAATGTTTATTATTATTTTTACTATTATAACAAATACTAAAGACTTTAATTAACCCTGAATATACACTGCTTAATTCTTAAATGACTTGTCCATCTTTTAATCTGAATAACTTAATTCATCAGTATAATGGAAAATTTCACAGTATTTCTTGACTGAACAGCAAGCAGTGCAGACTAAAATTAGGGGTATCACAGACAGACAAAATCTAACCATTTAAATGGCGACATAACAACCATGTTAAACACTCAACCGACTGTACGAATAAAATCCAGAGATTTTCTCACTATGTACTAACAATTATTTTAGAACTTATCGCCACCCTGTCCATCAGACTAGAAACATGAAACTTGTTTTATACAGCACAATATAACAATCCTTTCTGTCAAGTTTCATCAAAATCAGCTCAATCAATGATTACAAAACAAATGTTGTTTTTTTTATTATTATTTTCACTTTCGTCAGCTCTAGTGGACACTTTATTCAGCACATGAAAATCATTTCAAAATCAGTAAATGTCTTTAAATAACAAAAACGTTTAAAAAAAAAATTCCCGACATAAACCGGACAGCGAAACCAAAACGTTTTCAAAAAAGGGCTCACCAGCATTTTTTCCCCAAACGCAAATTGTTACAAATATTTTGGGTTTATTTAAATGAAATACCATAATTTATGACAATTTTACCAGTCAATTTGGCAAAATAATTTTTTTAATAAAAATTTTTTTCATCAGTATTGGGGGGACACCCCCAAAACCCCTTTTCATAACAGGTTTTTTGGTTTTAAAAAATTTTCATGAAAAATAACAGATGAATGTATCCATTACCAAAAAAGGGGGAAAAAGATTTATAAAAAAAATTTTTTTTTAACAATTATATTTTTTTTTTTTTAATAACCAATCAAACGTCATTATATAAAAAGCCAGCTGACATATTAATTATTTTTATATGCACTTTTTTGTTACTTTTTTCATTATAATATGATTTTATATGAAAAATCAATTTGCTCTTTATTAAACCAATTTTTTTTTTTTTTAAAAAGAATTTTTTCTTTTACATTTGGTTTAAATCCAAAAAAATGTTTATGGGGTATATACTGCCAAAATTTTAAAAATGATTTAAAAATTTTTTTTAAAACAAACAAAATAGTACAAAAAAAAGGGGTAAAAAAAGGGAAAAAATACAGAATCAAGGCGTTGATTTGATTTATATGTGTCACTTTTGATGTTGTATGACACCTGGACATTAGGCTGACCATTCAAGGATACACATTCAATAACACTGTCATCACCCTGAAATAAATATCCAGTAACTAAAACATATCACCTTCTTTCAAGTATTAAAACAGTAACAGTATCTTTATGTTTAACATTTGGTTCCCAACACAGAAACAGTACCCTAATGAAAGAACTGCAGGAGCCTTACGGTTAAAGAGTTTGCCTGTATATTTGTCACCAAATAATATGAGAACATAATCATGCACTTTGTATTCGTGATTTTCATAAGATGTAGACAAATATTGTGCAAATTACAGACAGGATCATTCCCTTTTGAAGGATAAAATTAATTATCTATTTCTGTACAAACCATTATAGGATCTTTGGAAAACCCAATAGCAATCCAATAATTATTTTCCGTGGTTCTTTTCTGAAGGGTGAACTCAACATCTTCTGTTCCTGATTCTTTCCATGATACAAGATAATCACAATTTGTTGAGCACTCGGAGGGAGCAGGAAAACAGCTTTTTGTTTTACCACATTCTGGGTCCCGGCTTATCTATAATGTTAGAAAACAAAGAAAACTTTACAGTTCATTTTACAAGTAAGATCTAATGATATTCAAATATTTTTCTTATGTTTTAAAGCAGGCATCTGTGGCTGCCTGGTTAAGGTTGCTGACTTAAACAATTTGCCCTTGACTGCTTTTGGTTTGAATCCTGACAGGAACTTTGGATAATTTCATGTGAGGAAGCTATCCAGCTAGCTAAGGGAATGTTGAGGCTTCTACTCTAGTGCCTAATTGTGCATGAAATAATGCATTGAATGGAATCTGTGGTCTTCCTCCACCAGTGAAGCTGGAAAGTTGCCATATGATCTTTACTGTGTTAGTGCAACTTTAAACACTATAAAAGACACTAAAACATAGCAAAACTCCATAAAAACTAATATAAACTAGAACTATCACTAAATGTGAATAATACCCCCGCAAGACTGCTACGGAAATGAGGAAGTTACTAGTCACAGGATACCTTGCAAAAGAATTGAAATATTATATTCAATGTGCTTGACCATTGTATGAAATTATATTGAATTCCAACCATTAGTCTTCAAGTTCTGGTCCGGACAAAAGAAAGCAATGGAAAAGTAACAAAGGGCAATTACTCTGTAATTACTTTAGAAAGAGTTATGCTTCTTGTGCACTGCACTTCCCTTTATTGTGCTTGACCATTGTATGAAGTTGTTTTGGATTCCCACCAGTAGATTTTTAAGTTATGCTCAATACAAGGAAAAGTAACAAAGGGCAATAACTCTGTAATTAGTCAAGATTGAGTATGGTTCTTGTGCACTGCACTTCCTCTCTATGTGCTTGACCATTGTATGAAGTTGTATTGAATTCCAACCATTAGTCTTCAAGTTCTGCTCCGGACAAGGAAAATGCAACAGACGGCTGGACCGACCGACCAACCGACCACCGAGTGACTCCTATATACCCCCCCCCCAACCCTCGTTTCGGTGGTATAATAACATGAACATATGATTACAAAGATTAAAGGACAGTTAACAGGTCCTGTACACATGTACACTGCCATATTACCTGTATACAGTCTCAATAACAAATTTATATTACTTCACAATTGTTTTATGGCATTAGAATATTAATCTAATTCATCAACTTTTATGCTGCAGTGTTTATTGATGACATATATACATCATGATTATCCAATGAAAATCCATGTTACAAAATGAGAAGTATTATAGAGTAGGTATGATACTATGACATTACTGTATCCTACAATTCTCATAATTCAATTAAATAATCTATATAATAATAAGATGTCTTAAAATATAAATTCTAACATGACCCGCATTTTTCCCTATTGAATATAGAAGAACCAAAAGTGTGTGTTATAATGCAATAAAACCACTTTTGCCATTCTATATTTGGACATGTGACGTAATCATTATACATGTGACAATTAACCACTAAAAATGTGATGCGCTGAAAATAAGTACAGAAACAAATCAGGCTCAATTTAGCTTAATAGGTATGGCAACATTAATTTTTTTGATGTTGTGTTTAAGAATCGAAATAATATATCCAAATCATTAAAATTGAAAACAATATTTTAACTGTGAATACAATAAATCTATGTCAAAACGAAAGGTCTCCCTTTATCAGCAAAAAAAACCGCGAAAAAAGAAACATCATTACATGTACAACAAAATGGTTAAAATTAGATTCACTAAATTTAGATCACTGCCAAAATCACAAAATTTGCCCTATGCAAAAATACCCTGATATACTGTATACTGTATTAAAGTTTACCATTGACGAGGGTGATTGTGACGATGTTTGAGATGGCTGTGTTGTAGGCACAGTTTGAGCACCAGTAGAGGTCTGTGTAGGTTGTTCTGATGTGTATCTTAATGTCTCCGACAAACCTTTTACCCAATATACTGCAGCTGTTTCAACAACTGTAAAGCTGGAAAATAACACTTTCACACATTGTTTTGTCGTAATAATGCAGTAATGGATTAAATTCCTGATAAAATTTATTATATAATAGAATTTAACCTGTTACTGCAACACGGTTATTTAACAAACAACAGAGACAGAAAACAATAGAATATTTTTTCAGACTTTTAGCAGCTCTTTTGAAAAAAAAAACAGGTAAAGTTACAAATCTTTGTACATGTAGTTTCTAAATTATACAACTTGATCATTTGTTTATAGTAACAGAATTTATTTGAGTTAGATTGTGTAGGATGATATAAGCTTATAGACACACATTCAAATCAGTTCCTGGAACCAACCAGTACTGAGCAATGAGTGTAAATTTTCTTGCTCATGGAAACAACTTTCTCCTGACAGGATTTGAACCCATGGGGCTAGCAATCATAAGATTACTAGTGAGAGTGTTAACCACGCAGCCATGCTGCCGCTGAACATGATCATTGTATACCTCAATATTTTGAAAGAATTACCTCCATAATAAATGTTATAATTATTTGTTTCTGAAACTTCAATCATTTATCTTTATATTTAAAACAACTTTATCTCTTATCCTGTAGGATTAGCAACTGAATCTACCCAAGCAACCAGTGCTGACCAATATCAGTCGGCACAATTTGAGCCACCTGATTGTGGTCTGTACTTTTCGCTATTCAACCAGTACATATTTTAAAAGTTTCCCTAAAAAAGATGAATGGTTTTGTCCAGATTGAATGATGGGCAAGTCCATTTAACATCCTTTGCGACTAGATGGGTAAAAGTTAAAGAAACTTTACAGTGAAATCATATATTTACTCAAGGCCATAATTTCATGAAATTTTCCATATTTAAAATATTTGCTCATTTCTACTTTCAGGTCTTTTTAACTGATATGATACTTTGACACTTGGTGAATATCAAAAAAATCTTCTTAAGAAAAAGTTAAATTCAAGAAATAAGCAAAATTTAATACCTTGCGAAATTATCAAACAGATATTACACAATATATGCACAGCATAAAGCATAAAAAAGGAATGCTTACATATCATATCATATGACCTCACATATGACATCAATAAACGAAAGGACGTCTGGAAAATTATTTCTACGCTCAATGTAGTTTAGCATAAGAATATCAATTCTGTTTTTATTTTTTTTTTTGTTAGCATGTTAGAATAGAAATAGATATAAATTTTTCTTGCACTATAGTATGATAATGCATGATTAGTCCAATCCGCCTTCATGATTATATTCCTACTCGTTTGAACTTCAGCTATGCATTATTTTACCAACAATGCACACAAAATTTATATCAATCTCCTAAATATTACACTCATTTATACTTACACAAACACAATGTTTCCAACGTTTGATGAAGGTGCTTTCCATGTGAAAGTAATTGATGTTTTGTCCGAATTATTAGATTGTGACAATGCTACATTCTACAAATAAAACAAGAATTGTCAAGAACTGCGTGCTGGACTTCTCTTGATGCTGGCCAGTTAACATGGCCGATTCATGTGCATTTTAAATTCACAAAGGGGTATAATTCAGTAAATAACATAGCTATCCTTTAATTCCTCAAGTTCAAAATACAGGGGTAATTATTAATTTGTTCTGTACTTTTTCTATTGAGATAAATGATAAGCCTATAACACTGACAAAACAAAGAACATCACATGCGTTGTTACCCTTGTCTGTTAAGGGGAATGGCTATCATAATAAATTTTTATATCAATATTCAAGTTAATGTGAGACATGACTCCTAAAACTTTACTTTCAGGATAATGCCCCTAGTCTTGCAACTGTGCATTGTCATAACTGTGCAATGTCAATTTTATCAAGTTTGTATTCCAAGTTTCATGTTGATATCTTTAAAATCATTCAATTTAATAAGCAATTTTGACAAAAATTCTATGTTTAAAAGGGACATAATTGCAACATTTAGCTTTCAGAATAATGTTCTACAAGTCTGCACCTTGTCATGATAAGCAAATACACCAAGTTTAATGTTCATACCCTTTCCCAGTTTTAAAATGATTCTGCTTAATAGGCAATGTTACACAAATATTCTTAAGATAAAAACGGACATAACAGCAAAAAATATAGCTTTCTGAATAATGCCCCTTGTCTTACAAATTGTCATGATAAGTGAGTATACTAAGTTTGATGTTGATAACTTTTCCCAGTTTCAAAATCATTCTACTTAATACGCAATTTAGACAAATATTCTAAAGTTAGCTTTCAGAATAATGCCCCTTGTCTTACAAATTATCATGATAAGTGAGTATATCAAGTTTCCAGTTGATACCTTTTAAAATGTTTGAATAATAGGCTATGATAATGTTTTTGCACAACAATGACAATGACAATGATGTCGCAGCAATCATATTACCTCAACTTTTTAACAGACAAGCTAATAAAATTGATTAAATTCAATTCAATTCAATATATTTAGATTAAATACCACTACATGTTTCTTGAATGACTTGTATAACATTAATTTATATGATCAGAAGAAGATAAACTTACCTTGTTAGCTCTTTCATTGGAGCAAGGGTTTCGGGTAATGTCAGGAAAGGACTGTAGTGAGCCAAAAGTTGTGTAATTATCAGCACTGGGTCGAGGCTCAATCAAGAATCCTCGAAATTTTCGGTTCCCTTTTCCTTTTAATGTTACTAAAAATAAAGACCTATCTAAATTAAAACTTATACAGTATATATATGTTTATAATACTGCACGTTGGTAAAGTCGATTTTCATTGGATAATCGTGACGTTTATATAGTTTTATATACACAGCTGCTGTGGATTTATATAGAAATCTCGCTTTATTTCTCTAAAAATGATGCTTGCTGTATTATAAATTCATTATAAATATTTCTGACAGGTTATATGGCCGTGTATAAACGGTTATTTGCAATATAACCCTCCTCTAGCGGCTCCGGTTATATTTACAATCAACCATTTATATAGGGCCATATTACCTGTCAAAAATCTTTATAACTAATAATATATATGTAGTACTATAAAAAACTATTACTATGAGGAAAAGTGGAATAAAAAACAATTATTAGCCTCAAAAACTAATGATCCCATCGATCTATGACCATTTGGCTAATCAAAATAGATATTACTTTTTCAATCAACCTGACTAAAAACACATTATTAGTCATGTGGTGGTCATTGCCCTAACTGAAATATATTGGTGTTTGACTAAGTGAGACAGGACGTCCCAGTATTCCCTATCAGTTCACTACCAAATTTCCAGCTTTACTTGTGGCAGAACACCTCAGGTGCCCTTCCCTGCATTATTTAAGGCACAAACGGGAATCCAGGTACTAACACTGATATTTCGTAAGCTAGTTAGATAGCTTCCTGGAAAAAATATTTAACAAAAAGGATGACATTGTATTAAATAACATATTAATATACCTTGTATAAGTTCATTGTCTGTATAGGTAAGTTTATCTGGTGAAAATGTGATCTCATACGGAGGTGCAGTTGACTGTTGAGCAACACCATGTTCTGGTATCATATTGTCACAGCGTTCTGGTGGTGGACCTGTTGGATAACCCAACACAATGCTGGGTACCAGAACTAGTGCCGTAAGAAAATACATCTTCTACAAACTGCAATTTAACATGGAATAAAATGCATAATTTACATATATCTGACACATAATTTACATATATATATTAATTCATATATATTTACTTATTCTAGTCACAAAGGCCAATTATTCAAGTTTTCAATTACTAAAGGCTATGCCTTCATTTTAGAAATGTTTCAATTCATGCGTTTATCAACATGAATAGATCCTTTTTTTTACATGTTATAATTTATTACATTTGTTATCGTCACTAAATTTACATGTTTAAATCTGTATCAACATTTATGAAGTTAAAATCTTACATGTTTAAATCTATGCCTTCATTTACAATATTCAAATTGACTTACATGTAAAATTTATACTTATTCATTCATTCATTCATTTACATGTTTAAGTTCATTCCTTTACTTACATGCCAAATTTATACAATGTACATATCCATTCATTTACATGTTTAAATTGGAGTGAGCATCATCACTATCATATTTATATCATGATATGATTCACATTATACATGTAAATTCCTCTGTTGAGTTGTTGTTGGCAATTATCAAAGACATGCTTACCGTATGTAGTTACATGTTTATATATAATATCTGGTAGAAAATGTAGTATTAGTTGTCATGTGAACCTTACCTTTATTAACAATAGAATGAAATTAGTAAATTCTAAAAAAATATTTATTTTGACATCTGGATCATGCTATTAATTGAAAGAATCTATGAAATAATAACATAGTAACTATACCTGTAAAGAAACATTAAATTCAAGCCTCTCATAAGACAACTTGTTAATTCAGCACAATTAATGGTATCACTTGAAAAGTTTGTATGTCACCTACCTGTTAAAAGAAACAAAGAGTAATGGGATAGCAAAAATGTTAAAAGAAACTGGTGGATATCTTAGTAACTATGCATTTATATGTCAAACAAAACTGTCATTAACAGATCTTAGCATAATAAAAGGTGAATAAAGTTGATTTAATGATACTAAGTATAATATGAATAATGTTAATGACAATTCAACCTATTTTCTGTTTAAAGAAGTGTTTTGGTTTGTATATTAAAGAAGTGTTTCGAGTGTGTGTAGAATAAAAGCCCTCCTGGTCAAAAGCTCTCCGTCCAAAAATGACAAGGGGGACAAAAGCACCCCCGTGAAAATGACAGGTGGACAAAAGCACTCCCATTCCCATGTAGATGAGAGGGCGGACATAAGCCCTCCCGTAACAAAAAGATTTTAGAGAAATTTAAAGAAACTTAATTTATTTATAGAAAATGTTAACTCATTACTGCACTAAGATCACAATTTATTATTGTGATCATACAGATAAATCAAACTTGAAGGTTACATGTATATATAAATTATATATATAAAGTAAATAAATTTCCTAAAAATTGCCCTTTTTTTTCTAATTTAAGCCTTTTCCCAAATTATAGCAGGAAAAGGACTACAATTACTTGTTAAGTAAAATTCCAATTTTTTTTCACATTATATATAAATGAAATCACAACCTTCAAGTTAGATTGTTAAAATGTTTTCCAAAATATAAAATCCCAAGAATTAAAGATTTAACATTTATACCTTGAATTATTTAACACACTTTGCCAGTATGACATACCTGTTTGTTTATTTGACCACATTTAAATCCTGCTTTGATGAAACTTAGATCAACTTATCTTTATAAATATACCAGTTTAAAGGATCATTTTTCGTGCCGGTTATGTCCTAGAAATTGTGATAATGTTAAAAGATAGGACATCCTCAGTATAAAACCTGTAGTGCAATTTAGAACTACTTTCTGTATGTCTGGGTCCAACAAAACATTTTGTAATCTTTAAGAGCTGTTAAAGAAAATGACAGACTCAACTACTTAAGGCATAAAGCTTAATATTTTAACAGCCAGCAACTGTTTGAATTTCTAAAAAAAGAATTATTCCAAAATTATGTAACCAGTGTAACTATGGAAGAGATATGTTGGTTTATTTCCATTAGAACAAAATTAATGATGCATGCTAAGTAGTTTCGATTTAGTCAAAATATTTTGCTAGATTATAATATTTTTTTGGTTCTGGCTCAGAATTTCATTTCTACAAGAGGGGCAATATATGGGCTTTTCCTGAAATTATTTGCACCCCTCCCCACCATAGGAGAGGGGTATTTTTTGTCCAAGGGGTATTTCAGAGGTGGGTCATTTTTGGAAATAAGTGGTTCAATTTTGTCCAAGGTGCTAAAAAATCAGGGTTGTCCTTGGGGTATTGACTTTTTTATCTTTCTGTATGGTATAAAGGAAAAGTCCTAGGGGGTCATTTTTCATCAATAAATTGCCCAAGGGGTGTCAAATGCTTTTTATCCAAGGGGAATGGAAAATGTTGTCAGTCCAAGGGGTATTAACAAAGTGTCCAAAGGAGGAGATGAAGATGTGTGAAAGTGGATATATCAGACAACAGGTTGTTCAATGGGGTCATTTTTGTATTGTTGAGTTGTCCAAGGGGGAATAAATGATGTTTGTCAAAGATGTTTGGGCAATTTTGTCTCTCAAGGGAGGTTATTTCAGAAAGGTTGTCCATGGTCATTTGTTTTTATAGAATTAGGGGAATCATTTCAGAAAGGTCATCTAAGGGGTCATTTTTGTGCCTGTATGTTGTTCAATGTGTGAAATGATGTTTGTCCAAGTGGTATGGAAGAAGTGTGCAAGAGCTTTTTTATGCTAACAAGTTGACTAAGGGGGTGTGAAATAAGGATATGTTCAAGGGCTATGTAAGAAGTGTTCAAGGGGGTGTTATTTCAGAAAGGTCTATGGGGGTCATTATTGCATGAGAATTTTTGAAAAGAGTGTCCAAGAGGTTCTTTTACATGCTGGCCAAGAGTCATTTTTTCCTTGATAAGTTTTCCAAGAAGTAAGAAATCACTTTTTCCAAAGGGTATGGAAGGAGGGTTCAAAGGGTGGTATTTCAGAAAGATTTTGAAGGGGGCTATTTACATGTCAATGTGTTAAGGGGGTTTGAAATGAGGTTTGTGAGGAGTGGGGAAGATGTGTCCAGTATTTAAGACCTGATTATTATAGGGGTAGTGAAAATTTCTGAGGTTTGTCCAACAGATATAATGTAAGCATCTAAAGGGGGTATTAAAGAATTCTCAGATCCCCTAAGTGTGTGTACATCTTTGAGAAGGCACAGGACATAAGCAGATGTTTAAAGAGCCCCTGCAATGTGTAAGATGGCAAATTTGGATGTTTTCTAGAGCTGGGGGTAAAGTTTATGGCTGTAGCATGAACTTGATAAAGTTAACTGGTGGTGTCTTGACTTAAGTTGAGGGAAGTGGCCCTACAAAGCAGGCAGAGATGATGAGAAAAGTGTGCTAAGTCAACAAACCCCTAGCACAGGAAATGAAGACTTGAAAGGCAGGCTCTTAAAGGCTTTGCTAAAACCAACAGCCCTTTCAAGACTACCTCCTTTCAATATTGCTCAGGTTACATACATTCAGGTATTCATTGACGCCATACAATGATTTTAAGGCAGGGCTTTTTTTCACAGGTTGGGGAAGCAGCCCAGCCCTTAATTTTGGGGGAAAATTACATGGTATATTTGCAAAAGGGGAACAAAAAACTTGATGTAAATTTAATTTTTGGGGAAAACTGCTCGATTTTAAAGAAATTTTCTTTGGGGAAGCAGCCCTATAACTAGCCCAACAAATTGTGCGCTTTAGGGCTTTTTTTGTATATTCGGTGGTCGCCCTTAAGACAGACATCTATGAAATATCAGATTATACAATCGGTCTGTCTTGCCGTCGAAATATTGAGACTACCCTATAACAGCCCCTGTTATAGAAGGAAAAAAAGCCCTGTGAGGGCATGACTCATGACATTTTTTGGGTCTGTACTTGGCAGTGAAAGCTGGCAATGAAAGCTGCATCAATTAAGTGCCTAAACAGAGGATTGACCCTCATTCAACATAGAAAACATACACATGGGTTATTTCAGATCTATATGTATGTCATTTTTGCAAAAACAGTTTGTTGCTGTCTAAGGTCTCAGATATAAAATTATTTGTCCATACTATACATAAAATATCACAATATCTCACAAGTCTAATTAAATGTAGATCTGCTAATATTGTGCTATTCTGTGTATCTCTAAACTCTGACCTATTAGCAGGTCAAGATAATTTGACAAGTCTACTGTAAATATCTCACTACTGTACAGTACTGTATATATATATTGTTAGCTTCATTATGATACATGTTGATACCGGGTGTACAACATTCTTTAATTTACCATTATCATTTTAGTTTATCTGTTGCGATGAGTAACTATGCTTATGTAAATATGAATCTCAACTTACTTTAACGTAATTACGTAATCTGGTAATCCTGCAAAATCTAGGTCAAAAAGTAGGACAAATTTAGTCAACTTGTTACATAAATCCGTGACTTGAGTCCGTGTACTGTACTGTACACATGACATAATATATGCAGCAGAATATATTTGACAGTAAAAAAATGAAAGAAAGTTAATTCTTACTATTAGAATTTGCGTAAAAAAATCATACCAATAACCATCGTTCCAATAACGAAAACCTACTGCATTTTTTATCTTTCCATTTTTTATTTGTTTATATGAGAACATATAGTAGTGAAAATCACTTTAGGTTGTAGGCTTCTATAAGTAGTTTTTCCAAGTTAACATCTACATCTACATTGTACGTCGGCGCAATCACACTTGATTATGACGCGACGGGTGGTGCTAGGTCAAGAAAAAGAAATATACAAGAAATGATAGAAAGTTAGAAGAGGTTGGATAGTACAAAGGTAGAGATATAGACAAAAAGTATGGCCAGCTATATTTCGCCTCTTCAACCCAAACCTCTCCGGTTACGGTGGCCGCTGCCGGCACAGCCTTGGATATCACTAGTGGGTACTTGTAGCTGGGCCCATAAGGCGACTTAGAATGTGAGGGCTGATAGCCCCTGCTTGAAGGATACCAAGTCAGGGGCCTCTGCAACGGAGGCAGG